GCCATCTTTCTTTGACGACATCTTTCTTAAATTCACCCCTGTAACTAGATGATCGAATTCAAGAGTAGCGGTCTTGCACTTTCGACTTCATTTTTTTAATCGTTTCACAGTTTACATTAATCGTTTTCAGCTTAATATCTAACAATGTGTTTAGAATTTACTGATTGCTTTCCTTACGTTACTTGTATACTGAACATGATTACTTCGGTTTGAAAACTGTGCGATTTCGAATGGGTTTGGTACATCCTGGGTGGGCAGAGTTGTTTCAATTGCATTTTCGAGTATTGTTTTGGAAAATCGAGATTAGGATAGATTCCATACAAGTTATTGAATTGGATGTTTTTCAATGTTTTATTGAACAGACGGTGTTCACTGAGAAAAACATTTGCATACTTTTTATAATTAACTGACGATGAGTGAATTATTATTAATCGTGAAATTCAAATTGAAATCAGAAGACTGGATCACTCGTTTTCACTCGTGCAGTTTGGCTTCTCCTATCTCATTCCTAGCAGTAAGATCTGAAATTCTCTCGTAGATCAATGAGTTGGGTCAAATAGTATTCGCAAAAATTAGTGGATCAAGTATCGCTGAGTCACGAAATGGTTTAAGTTCATTTACTACGATTAACACGATCTCGGAATACTATTTATGAAATTGCAATCCATTAGTTGTTTGACGTTTAAAAAAAAAGNGTGTTAATTCACTTAGCTGATGAATAAATTGAATAGGAGCACAAGTGAATCACCTTTGAAGTGGGAGGTTGTAGTGAAGAGATATTGAAGATGATCAAAAATGTAGGATACTCGTGCTCATGCGGAGAGCGCGAAAGAGGCGATCGATGGAAAAATGATTCACGGACGACCGGTACGTGTCCGATTCGCGGTACACGGTGCCGCGTTGAAAGTGAAAGAACTGTCGCCAACAGTGTCCAACGAGATGCTCTATCATGCATTCTCGGCATTCGGCGAAGTGGAACGTGCCGTGCACATAGTCGACGAGAAGGGAAGACCCACCGGCGAGGGAATTGTCGAATTTGAGCGAAAGCCTTCGGCTAACGAGGCACTGCATCAGATTCGTGACAAAGTATTCCTACTGACATCGTGAGTTTTTACAATGTGTAATCAATGAATGAATGATGATAGATCGATTGTGTTTATCTGCTCAAAATGATCACATCTCATTGCATACCAGCAACGTTCCGCATATATATGATACAGCAAAGAAACGATGCGCGACGAATACGACTCATTTATACTCATAAGCATTTCATAGTTTTATCCGCCTTCATGAATCGCAATTTTCTGTTGCATTGGTATCGTTATGTGTATTTATCGAAAATACACAACGAGTAATTTTGGTGACCATAGAAATTCAAAGAGCGGTGGCAGTTGTTCGGTGATGCACCATATGTTTCATGTGGTTAGGATTTTGCATTTGGCCTGAACTGTGAGGAACAAACGAATAGTTTAACTTTTGATAGAATGATATTGAAAACGGAATGTTGTGGTGCGTTTGGTGAATTCAACAAATGCGCAGTTTTGAGAGTTTTACAATTGCAAATCAGAAAATCTGTTTCAAAGTCATCGAAAGGTTTTGATTTAAAATTCATGAAATGTGCTCTGTATGTACGGATATCCACAGGTAATGTTGTGATTTTTGAAGCTAAGGCTTATTGGATGCATTCTCTCTCTCACGAAATTCAGAAAAAACTGAAAAATTAGCGGGTTCTCTGAGTGATTTGTTGATAAATGAC